GGCGCGTGCGCGGGCGCCAGCTCGGCGGCGGGCCTGCGGGGCGCCCGCCGCTGCAGGCAGCGCGGCGACGACAGGTCCTCGCCGGCGCCCGCGCGCGTGTACACGTCGCGCATGTCGGGCGGCGGCGCGCGCGCGCAGCACGCCCAGCGCCCGGAGGAAGCCGCTGCGGACAGAAGGCCTCGCGTCACGGGCGCCGGGCGGCGGCTTCCTCCGGGCGGCTGCCGCGAGACCGCCTGCGCGAGACGAAAGCTTCGCGCGACTACATCGAGAAACGTGACCGGTACCGACCGTCGCGCGGGTCCCCGGCGTCCACCTCGGTGATGCCGTCCACCAGCGAGTCCAGGCCCTCGTTCTCGGAGCGGCTCTTGTCGGCGTCGCGCTCGCGCGTGCGCCAGCCGCCGCGCGCGAACTTGGCGATGTTGGCGCTGGGGTCGCTCAGCCGCCGCTGCAACGACGCGCGATCGCGTTAATTCGTTTGACGTTTGCCGTAGGAATGAAATAAAGTCGATATAAGATAAGATAAATTTATTTCAATATTACTTAATCTAATACAATTATATATTTATATTTATATTATATATTTTTAGTGTGCTTGATTTTGAAAGCGAAAGGTCTCTGTTGTAGTTTTATTTGTCTGACGTATTCTAAACGACGTATGATGTGTCAAGTGTTTTGTTGCGTATTATTTTGAAACCACAAAACACACAACTTTAATTCAAATGTCATTTCAATAAATCTTTTAGTAAATTTTAAAGAACATTTATCACATCGATAAAGCTATAAAGATTACAAAAAAAAAATAAGAATGAAATGTTAATTTATTCCCTGTGATTAAAATTCATACTTTAATTATTATTCATTAAATTATGTAAAACTTTTATCGTTATACTCCATCTCTAGCACATGCAATATAACGAAGTAACCTATACACGTTGTCATAAAAAATAATTATTAAAAAATAATTTTCGTGTTATTTTTACTTTGATTTCATGTATTTACTCAATCAAATCAAGGCATTTGCAAGCGAGATTTATAAAAATAATTTATGAAATACGTAAATCAATGCACGTTGTTACAAGGTTATATTATATAGACTTTCATAATCGTCACCAAATAAGAGGCCAAATTTGACAGCTAAAACAGACGATAGTATATAACTTTGAAAACAATCAACAAAACCATAAACAAACGACTATTAACTTATCGAATAATAAAAATCATAAATTTTATTGAAACAAATTTTATATCAAATATGTCCTGAAAACAGTTATGTCCTCAATAAACTTTTTTTAGTAATAATGTTGTAGCCAATTATTCGCCGAATTTCACCGAGTCACTTCCATTTCGCGGGAAAAATTTTGACTTATTAAATATTAAAAAAACAATTTAAAATAAGAGATAAACAGATTTGTATTTTTTTGCAAATTGGCAACTCTGATAGCGGTACTCGTTCGAGAAAATTAATATTGAAGATTTTGATAAAGATGTAAATATTGACAATATAATTAAAAATGAATTAATTACATAATACTGGTAACACTAGCTCCACTGACGATTTTGGCTCGTCTTCTGATAACAGTGAATAAAAATTTACATTAGGAAGCCTTTCGTTTTACTTCAGAATTTTGATATATAACTTCAGGTTGACCTTGTGAGCTCTGCTAATGTAACTATATTACCACAACAAGTACAGGCTATCGTTGTGATTATTTAAAATACCTACTTATTATTTATATTTAACGGTATAATGTTTCAATAAATGTTAATTGCACTATCTAGAACTGAAAATCAATGAACCGAAAAATAATCTAAAGAATCATAAACTCATATAATTTTGAATCGATTTCTTGCGAAAATCGTTTATTGTGGGTACCGATATGATTAGTCCATATACCTATTCACATCACGATGACAAGTGTCAAATTTGGCCTCTTATTTGGTGACGACTATAAGAAGTATTGCAGGGATCATCCTAGATTATTATAATTATAATTACGCGCATACATTCATAGCCCCGCACTAGGGAAACCCTAAGTCGCGGGTGGCATGAACACACACGTAGACAACGACAAATTACACCGAAACTCAAGAGAGAAATAAATGTGGCCATACAAATATTTCTCCCGGCCCTAGAATCGAACCCAGGACATCTGCGTGGCAGTCCGGCATGATAACCGTTCGACCACTTCAACAATAATGTCCCTGTTACGTACTTGACTTTGACTCGTAGTTACCATTAGTTTACAATTTTCTCAAACATTAAAAATAAACTGCTAGTCACTAATTTAAAAAAAATACTAACCGAATATTATGAGTCCAGGAGCCGTATTCTGCAATCGCTATGGTTGTGATTCAGTATGAATCTGATAGCGAAAGTCGTCGGTTGCCGTATCGACAACTTACCGATTATGCCATTTTGTAAATCCACGATAACGAAAATCGTTACTGTGGATTTACAGAATAGCATAATCGGTAAGTTGTCGATACGGCAAACGACGACTTTCGCTATCAGAGCCATAACGATAGCGATTACAGAATACCGCTCCAGGTGTCAAAGGTAAATATAGGTATTAAGTGTACGTAACTGCATAGGTGCATGGATTTCTTTTTTGTCGGCAGTTTTATAAATTCCAATTTAACATCACATAACTTTTTTTAGATTAGTTCATCAATGTTTTGATCACTTGAATGCAAATTCAAAGTGTAATTAATTACTACACAGAAAGTCCCATAACTTTTACTTCAATTTTACAGTTTAAATACAGATTGTGAGCATTCTTGATCAATAATCTCAGTACAGAGTACTAAAAAAACGACCTCCAAAGTACGTGGAATTACATCTGTTTGCCAAGTTTTATTGAAATCGGTTACCGGAAAGTGCGCAAACCCGGATTCATCTCCTAGTTCGCTACTATACGGAACTTGACACAAGAGATAATAAAAATCGGTTCTCACTGCTCAAAGTATATTGAGAGAGAAAAACGCTTTGAATTAGAGAATAGCAAAATCAACCATTAAAATAATTGCTCCTTATAATAAAACTTAGGCGCTATTTATAGAAATGAATCTTCATGTGTGGACAGCCACCCTTAGAGGGGGATGATTTTCTACAAAATTAAATGGGACCACTATGGAGGTACACTCTCTTCAACAAAAAAAAGAATCAACAAAATCTGTTCAGAAATGGCGGAGTTGTCGCGTAACATACATAAAAAAAGACATACAGTCGAATTGAGAACCTCCTTTTTTTGAAGTCGATTAAAAAGAGAGTAATTATTACATCGTGCATCTCTCTCGCGCCGATCATTGTGCTCGCAGTACCAATCACAGAACATTTAGGAACATTTTAATTATATCCAATAATATCTCGTTCCACACTGCAGTTAGACATTATTACCAGTTTTGCAACTGCATAACTACCTCAAAGTACAAATATTCGACACACGTCGAGTGCGGACGCTTAAAGAGTGAATCACCACGTCCGAAGATACACGCGTCACAAATTAATCGAACGCTGCTGGTGCACAGTTTACGCAAAGCCAGACCTCGGCACCAATTTACGAACAGTCGAGCAAAGGACGTGTCACCTGGTGCCTGTAGACGAACATCTCCTCGGGGTCCTCGTCCCAGTCGCTGTCCCACAAGTCGGTGGCGGCGAAGCCGGGCTCGGAGGAGGGCGTGTCGAAGCCGGAGGCGCGCGGCCGCGACACGGCCATCTCGGCGTGCCCCTTCCCGGCCGGGCCCTTCATGCGCACGAACTCGCAGCGCGCCGCCGCGCCGCCGCCCAGCAGCCCGAACGACATGCGCTGCGCCACCTTCGTCGACAGCGACGTTTGCTGGAACGCACACGCACGCGACTGTCAACAGCAGCTCAACACTCGACCGGCAAACATCAACCGTCCGCGTTATGTTACCGAGGCATGTCGTGGTCAATCTTCCGGTAGTTGAGCAACAATGCAACTTACTTACTAACCGTTACATACCTATTCGTTGTCATTCACTGCCACCGGCAAAAGGCATTCGTCAGCTTCCGAACTACACTTGTCGAGTTCGCGCAAAACGACGAACAAGCGGGCTTTGTGGACCCAACTCGTGTTCTTAAACAGAGTGGCTTAGTAGTAAACATTGTAGTGTCCTAGTAGTAGGACCTGCCCCAACCCGTGTGTAGTATATTACATGACGTGTTTACAGAATTTCTGCAGGAGCAAACGGTCGCCAAGATAACGGCATAGTTTCATAACAAAACGCGCGCACTGTTTCAATACAAACGCTCATTGTTTGCTGGTTAAACAACGTTCCCGGCGCAGGTGGCAGCTTTTTTACATTTGATTTAAGTTTTTTTAGTGAATGTACAGCAACCATTTCTATCTACTTAGATATTGTACTTACAATGCTTGACTGTACACGTATTTACGAGAAGGCTACAAAAGACAACAGTGTAATATAATGTCTCGTGATTAGATTAGACACGACTTTGCCATCGAGCTCGACAGCAACACCAGCGTAGAGTTATACTCTCCGTCTTTGTATCCAAAACAATGGTATCCACATTGTGAAGCCTTGTTTTGTGCCCTCCCAACTACTTGTCGTTCCGGAGGAACTCGTTCTTGTTCGGTTTTTTTTTTCAATATTACAGAGTAATTTTAGGATCTCAATCCCGATAATTGCCCTAAAATTATTAATGTTAGGCCAGCACTCTGATTTAGGTGCGTGCGGGTCATGGACATCCTCAAATACAATTGAGACCGCATCGATGTGCTGCCGAGCGGTACTTCACGATGCAGATACATTGTTGATGCAATGGAGATACATAACGACGTCGATATTAGTGTTTTAGGACAAAGCCACGAGGTACTAATTAACTGAGCAATTTTCCGGCAACCCTGCGGTAACGATTCTCTACTCCGTTGACAAAAGTCCTTAAGAACTGATACGAGTATGTACTTCTATTGTTTGAGATACAAATATCGGCCTACTAAATGGATAAGAATATCGGCAGTGATTAATGTGGCAGACAGAACAAAGATGTGTATCGGGAACGAGTCACTGGGTAATCAGCCTGTCATGGCGGCGTGACGCAATGGCGGGAGCATACGAACATCGCTCTACTACACGCATACTGTCTACACTTATTTTATATTCGCAACCACTCGCAACACAGGTTTTTTCCCACTTTTAATATTAAGGCGAAGTATTTCAACGCAAGCCTACATTTTAGGTGAGGAGGAAATTAATATTAATAAAATAAGAACAGAGAAAATTTTACACAGATCCAACGTCGACAAACGCCCGATAGCGACTGACGGGGCAGTGGGCGACGCGGCATGTCGTTAAAACGCTGGGTATTTTTTAAATTTTGGAATAAATCTGAATTTAATAATTATAGGCTTCAGTCATTGACTTACAATTATATGGACGTCGGGTCCGCGCTAAAAAGTGTCCGAACTTATAGGGCGTTAAAATCGTATACAGAGCGTCATTCACGCTTTAGTCTTCGTTTGTTCGACTGACAGCGAAGCAAGCAAAATTAGACAGTACTGCGATGACATTACAATTTAAATTCAACGTTTTAGCTTTTTCATATTCCTTTACATGTCACTACGTTTAAATAGGTTGACTTGGGACATTTTTTCGTGGTTTTTGTATTAGACCCGTCGTCCATTTATTTGTAAGTCAATGACTGAAGCCCATAATTATTAAATTCTTCAGTGGAAAACCAAAATTTTGCCGGGTCTCTGTAGTAAAACAACTTTCAGTAGTTTCGTAAAATCTGAAGTCCAACAAAACTGAAGAGAAAAGAGAAACCGAAAGACGAGAGACAAGGGAGGAGCGATGTGGTCTACGCGAGTAGTGTATGAGGTATTCCATATACGTCTGGTATGGGGTTGAAATGCAAGCATTGCGAGGCAATGGCAGTGTACGTTATCAAACAAGCACAGCACATGTCCTCATTCGTTACTACAGTCACACCGCGGACACGCCATACAACAGTCGAAAATTATTTATTTACTACTAAGTACTACATACAGCAAGGCGCTATCTGCACACGCGCATATATATGTGCGTGAAGTGGCAGGGTTACCCATCACTTGCTCGTACTATTTATTACGTGACGTGGTCAGAGCGGCAATCTGTTATCTATAATTCAATTATAGAGTCCTAATAATTACACATGTTCATTACGTATTTATATCGATATAATGTTATATTTTTCAATAATTCACTAAACTGGAATAATATTGAAGATTTATTTTAAAAATTAAAATCACTTAAAATGTTATATTTTGGACAGATACCTTTAAATAGGTAACCAAAGTATTTGAAATTGCATGTCGAAGTTTATCATTACCTCATTAATAATTAGGTATATTCACTACGTAATATTTTATCGGCAATACAAATTGAAAATTCCGAACCGAACCGAAGAGAACCCCTCTCGAAACTCACGAAGTTAATGGCGTCTTATTATATTGACATAATAAATTTGTATAATATATTACTCTGCACTAAAGAAAACAATAACTGAATGAATCTCAGATAAGTTTTTTTACTTACTTCGTTTCATCTTTCAAAAAACGAAAGAAAGCCTCTCTTTATCCCGTTTAGATGATTATAAACAGTCGTACATAGCACAATTTACGACCACTATAAATAGTAACGTAAAATGATGTTATATATTAACGTACAAATTTCGTATTGAAAAATGAAAAGTATATTCAAATATCAAAGCCGTCTTAGAGCGAAAACGGCTCGCCGACAGCCCTATTCTCGTTCAGTCAATATGACCGTCAATGTGCGGGGCGTGGTGCGGCATATAAAGCTAGGGAGGGGCGGAGAGTGTCCGTCCTCATTACTTATTTGTTCTCTGACTTAAGTTGAAAAGTCCCATGTGCCTGTAATTGCACCAGCACCCTTATCCTTCAAAACCACAACGCAACGCAGTAATGCTCACATTACTGCCTAGCGGCAGAAATATGATAGTAATAAGGTGGCAGTACTTCCCTGGACGAACTCTTTCACAAGGTGCTCTACCACCGCTAAAACTTCAAGTGTTAATAGCGCATCGATGACTCTAAAATGCTCTAATTATTTACATTCTTGAGTATTACACTATTTTGCCGATAAACAGACTGATATTTGGCAACATGTAATAATTTGTTAAACATTAGTAGCGGTCCTTTATTGTACGACATCTTTAATTTCATTAGTCGAGTTATCGGGGATGCTATCACAGATAATATAATAACTATTATACTATACTGATATATCGCAGCAATAACATAGGCCGTTGTAAATTTTTATTTATATACATTCCACTAATATTTACGTACGTAATCACAGGTAATGGCGCCGACACGATCCTTTGTTAAAGATTAGTTTTCAACTAAAGCGTCGCAACACCAAGTATGAGAATAAAAATGTAAACTTGCTCTTAAATGTGCCAAGATGGCCAAGATGACGGTGCAGACTTAGCAGTCAGATAGCTGGTATATTACGACGACGCGCAGAGCGGTTGACGTCGCCGCACTCCTACAACTATACCTATCATCAACAAACTAGTGGAATAATTTCACAAAAAAAATTGAATATCAATTTATACTTACCTTACTTTTACGGTTAATTTCTACTCCTAAATATCACGTTAGCTCGGCTAATTCCACAGACATATATCTAGATAGACGCCGCAAGT